ATCCACTAACCGAACGAGTCATTTAATACGGAATATAGTTAAAATAAGAAAGTGATAGCAAATATATGACTAAAAATTTATTTTATTTATGAATATTATTGGTTTGTCTTATTCATTTGTCAGCTACTACAAATTCAATTCTCAAATATATAAGATAAATTTCTCTCAATTACTTTTATAAAAGGTTTTGGGTTCATGCGCACAACTGCTTCACTTTTTAAACAATCTGCGCGGAGTACTTATAAAAGACCGTGTGGAGGCTTTTTGATGTAGGAAGTGATGGTTAAGACCACATATTTTAATCATATACAGACAACTTTTTTAGTTTCTAAGAAATAAAGAGATAAGACAACATTATTTACATGATTTCTTTGCTACGTTATGCCCAATGCATTTTTTATCAGTATAATTTCAATTTTGTTAACTATGATTTAATGTTTATTTTCTATTTCTAAGTATTTCATTATAATGTTTTTTTAAAAATATTTTTGATTTTTAATTATACTTACATCAGAAGAATTTTTAAGTGTGTAAGTGTGAGATGTCATTTTTAAAATAAAAATAGCCATCAAAAAATTCTTTCACAGACATAATATTTATTTTACCGTCCATTTTTATTTAACAAGAAAAAAATATCACATATTAAAAAAATTAAAGAACATATTAGTTTCAGTTTTTCTAATGTATGAATTTGTAATAGTTCAAACTCACCGATGGGTCATAAATACATAATTTTCTGATGAAAAGTTCCTTCAAGAAGAAAAAGGGGGTACAGCATCTGCACTGCTCAGGATTCGACAAAATATTTTATAAAACGGTAGAGAACCACATACGAGAACTTGCAGATTTCGTTTAATTTTGCCAACTTTTAAAAAGGCTTAACTGTAACAAATTGGAGTATCGCATGATTCTAGACTAGTTAGACAAACCGATCAAGTATCAATTTTCTTAATTGACGCAGTCTATATTTTTTCACAAAGATTTCCATTCTTTTACTATATATTTCTTACGAAACACAAAAACAGTCACAAAGAACTGTAGAACATAAACAAATCAATTCTGCGTTGGAGTTGCCAGGCACACAAAAACAAAATAAATCACGGTTACAATAAAATACACAAGTACATAAATCTAAGTTTAGTAAAAGACTTAGAACTATATTTCCACAAATTCGAGCGCAATACGGCGCTGTATGGAATTAACTTCACGCTAATTAACATTCTAACTTTTACGGAGAAACTTAGCTCAACTTTAACACGCCATTTTGCTTATAAGCTATCAGCTAGCGCATGGATCACATGTGCGGGTATTCCTGTTCTTCTTCTTGAAGTACAAGTACCCAATTGCTATTTCACCACCACGTGGGAAAACCCTACTCGGAAAAAATTGATACTGCCATACTTCTCCCATATTCTGTAAAACAAATATAATTCTTACAAAGCATTTATCATGACTTTATAGCTGACCTTTTTTTCTATCAGACATCTAATATATCTGTTTATAATACTTATATGTAGCGATGAAATTTATTTTCATTTTGTTCTATAGAATTATAGCAAGCCAGATCTTTTTTTTTTCCTTCTGAAATTATAAAAATTCCGTAGCAGATTGTGGGAATTGCTGTGGCGTATCCCAAATTCCTTTTTNAAAAAAAAAAAAAAAAAAAAAAAAAAAAAAAAAAAAAAAAAAAAAAAAACTAATAATAATGATAATAATAATACTTTAGCATCACCACAAATGTTGCGCTAACGCATCGGCGTTAGTAGTGGGTTAATAAGTTTCGTTATAATAGTTAATAATAACATTAGTTAATAATAATATAAGTAAATATAAAACTATTTTTGAAATCATTCTATTGAGCTATTAAAGCTATATTTTTTTTAAAAATAACAAAGGTATTATATAACAAGTGTTTTGATGTGATATATCGGGAACTGTATATTTAACTCAGTTCGCAAAGTAGCAAGGAATTACAGTTTAATATTAGCTACTGCTTTTTTCCTAAGATGTAAGAGATCTTTTGCTGCATTTACCATTATATTAGTTGCGGTGGTTCTACAAAAGCATTTTTCTCAGCATTTTCTTTTATAAAAAAACTGTATTAATTACGAATTTTGCAATAAATTATTTGATAATCACTATTTTTTCAATTAAACTAAATTTATTTTTAATAAAAGGTGTAATGTGAGATTCAATAATCGCTGATTTTATGAAATATTGAGATTTTATTTGAAATTGTTACAGAAATGTTCAAAAACACATTTACCTAAACGAAATTGCTTTGTAAAATATAAGTTTTAAATTTATAACTATCAGTTACCCAAACTAGTTTTAGTACTTTGTTGAATATATCACCGTCACGTACTATACCCGCGTGATAATATATCCGATTTAGAATGCATTAAAGCCAAGAGGGGAGCCCACATTGTTTGGGGAAATAATCTCAATATATCCAAACTTGCCTTAGAAAGATTTATGATAAGTATCGTTAGTCATTTTGAAATGCGTGCCAGATTCTGTGCTGCATAATCGCCAATACGTATTCAATCGCCAAAATATGACAGATCATAAGTCACTTTGGAATAGTGAATTAGAAATTCTAGATTATATGAAGACTAACGACGGATACATGAAGATGTTTATTGGAATAAATGTTCAAACTACGCGTTATCTATCTGAGTATAAGGAAATAATCCAACGCCCTGAGAATTTATCAAATAATTGTTCATCAACTAAAGTGTGTTGCGTGCTTTGGAAATGTTGTTTCTTATCTAAGTTGTCATTTTGACCGACCTCAGTGGATTAAGATTGCTAGTTTTATTTAAAAAGTGTGAAATATGCATAATTCCAATGTAAAGTACAGATGTTCAACCTAGTCTTCAATTGTAACGAAATGCAAATAACAAAAATTCGTTAATCAACTTTACGGCGGATATTTGTATTCGATGTCCTTTGATTTTTGAAGAGAAAATCATTTTTAATTGTAATCGTGACATTCAAAAACTAACTCTTCGTACTCGAAAGGAGCATCTCAACCTCTCCAGGTTTAAACCACCTTAATGTTTAGTACTTGGTTTAGTAACAAGGTTTAGTAACCAAGGTTTAGTAACTACTTTATTTTACGCCCTCCAGGTACTATATAGTAAGTGTTTAACTACTTAGTTGTTTCTTGTAAACTTTGAAAATTTGATTTTGTTTTCGTTTTTTCTTTCTTATTTTTTAAGACATTTTTTTTAAAAAAATTCCTCGAGCACAAAGGTTTTGTGAGAAACGTTTCAAAAAAATTGGAAAAATTATATCTCCACATTGCAAGGTATAATTTTGCTTTACATTAAAGAAAAATATGTATGAAAATCGATTCACAATTTTTTTGGAAATTCGTATGTTTAAATTATCATCGGAGCAAAATTCATAAATTTTTACACATACTTCGTGTTCCATTATGGCTGCCAATAATATACTTTTATTTGAGATTCTTGTCAAAAATGCAGTAAAAGAAGCTTTAGTCATAGGAAACCATAAATAAATGTTTAAGCAAGGATTGAAAAAAGCAATTGAAATACGTTCAATTATTAGTATTAAATTTCGGTGCCAATTTCTTATAAGATAAGAAAAAGCTGAATTATCTTTATTCTTCTGGGTGTTCTCTCTATAAAAGAATGAAAAATTCATATTTATGTTCCGAAAGTGAAAAATCTAAACTAAATCTTCTACATAACGGGAAGCTCATAGATAAAGTATCATGGAAATGAGCATAGATGGCAAATACTATTTTATTAAAACATAAAAACAAAATCTGTACATCTATACCTGGCACAATTACAACTACCAATACAGCAGACTGTATCATTAACTGTAAAATCGGGAGCAACACGTTTCCTCTTCAAAAGGAAAAAAAAGCCTTGGAAGCAGTTTTTATTATGTTTGCTTCATTTTTGACAAAGAGGAAGAGCATCACCTCCTACATCAAAAAGCCTCCACACGGTCTTTTATAAGTAGTCCGCGCAGACTATTTAAAAAGTAAATCAGTTGTGCGTATGAACCCAAAACCTTCTATAAAAGTAATTCAGAGAAATTCATCATATATATTTGAGAATTGAATCTGTAGTGGTTGACAAGTGAATAAGGCAAACCAATAATATTCATAAATAAAACAAATTTTTAGTCATATATTTGCTACCACTTTCTAATTTTAACTAGATTTTGTATTAAGTAACTCGTTCGGAAAGTGGATATCCTTCACAGTGGTCTGATCGGACTACCTTAAATGAACCGTGTGGAGGCTTTCAGTTATAGGAGGCGTTGGGAAGAGCACTCGCCTTCCAATGAGATGACCCAGGTTCGACTCGCTGTGATATTTGGTCGATATGAATTCAGCTGACCACACCGATCACAGAACTGTCGTAAAATATCTTCAGTGTATCATGGGTTAGAATCTCTCTGCCGTTTGGTTAACCTGGAGAAGTTTTCGTGGATTTCCACTCCACGTAAAGCGAATGTTGGATAGTTCAATCAAAACTTCTTCTACGAAAACTAGATGGAACCATTGCTTGATCCAGAAGTTTCCTTGACGTCTGGTTTGGGTTGAAAACTAGAAAACTGAGTAGTTGAACAATGAAAACATCAAAATTTGCTTGATTGCTTGGTGAAACTTTGAGAACTCCTCTCAGTTTTTTTCCATCAACTAAATTGGTTTTGATGTTTTCAGACAGCTTGGCTCAATGATAATTTGTTAGATTTTGATAGAGTTACCTTCTCATGCTTAAATATCAATTTGTGACCTCTAGTATTGCATTGTTGAAAAGAACTATACTATGTTTTAAGAGTAGTAATTTCGAATAAAAAAATTCTGAAGAAAAAAATACAGACTGTAATGTATCTTGAAATTTCTAAGAACTTTAAACAAAATTTATAAAGTTTTTTTTTAAAATTAAATGCAAAATATGTGCCACAGTTGATAAAACTAAAGTGTATTGTTAAATATGAATTTCACTCCTTAGATTACTTAAGCCATGCTCCTTGCTTCAAGAACATCTCTACTGATCCAAAAAAATGCGGAGAGAAATATCGAACGATTGCTGTTTTGTCTCATGAACAAAAAGAAGAAGATAAGGATTCAGCTTTGAAATCGGTTTGCTGGTACGTAGTTCATAATAATTTTTTATGATAAAATTACAAAGAACCAATTGAAAACCTAGCAAAGACTTTTTTTAATTAAATTTTTATCTTATTCTCTTATTTCATCATTTTTTTTTCGATTTCTTCAAAATACTTTTACACGCTGTTAGAAACTTTTTCATCAAGTTAACAACAATAGAAAAAAAATTAAATCCATTTNGGGGGGTAAGGCTTAAAATTTTAAATATCTTGCTGCTTTCACGAGTTTTTTTTTAAAATTATTTACTAATTTAAATTTTACAGATTTTGAAAATCAGAAATATCTACCTTTAATCAAAAATCTACCTTGTGTTTCCAATCTTTTACTTTGCGGTGCCTAAGGACTTGGATTTTATTTTTCAAAGTAAAGGAAAACAAGTTGACACCTTCCTTTCCTTTATTTAGAAAAAACTGGGCACCTGGGCCGGGCAGCGTCCCCTATCCCATACATCATGAAATTAAATACACTGAGGTAAAAATATTTTGAATTTAGCAACATTGGGGTAGCTATAAAATAAAAAGTCAAGCACTTTGCTTAATGAATTAATATCTAGAAATTTACAATTTAAAAATTGATAACAATTTGAATTAGGCAGTCGTTGAGGTAGCCAATACAAAATTACAAGCACTTTGCTTGGGTAATAAAACATTTGAATATCGAAACTGAATTGACATATATTTGAGATATATACATAAGTTGACGAAGATAAAAATAGTAAATATAACATTTGAGTTTCGAATCAAATTAACCCATGTTGACGTACATATAAATGTAAACATAATTTGTAATGTATATATATACATGAATTGACATTAAATAGTATATTACAGAAATTGATACGTAATAAATTTCTACATTCAGCTGGCACATGTTTAATTATGCTACGTGTTTAATTATGCTACATGTTTAATTATGTATTGAAAGTTTAAGAATTAAAGAGTTTTTTTTAACTGGAACTGGTAGTAAAACAGTCATTGGGTTAAGGAGGAACTTCAGTTTTCAGGGGTCTTTTCCTGTAGGATGGATTGAAGAAGAGCAACAACTTCTTCGTTCTGCAAAAGTTCTTGAAGTTCTTTCACTATGGAAACAAGACGATGAGCTGAGGATTTCGTAGTAGGAGAGCGTGCAGTCTTTCTACTGGGGCAGGCTTCACACCCAGAGAAATGTGCAGTATGGTTTTTGCCGTAGTTGCAGCATTTTGGAGGTGTATCTCTGTTCTTCTGACACTCGAAGGAGTGGTGACTTTCCGCACACTTCAGGCATGTGGGAGGAGCAGTACAAGTCCGTAGTGCATGGCCGAAGCCCTGGCATGTGTAACAAGTTGACACATTTCAGCGGGATTCTTTATATTTTATTAATCGACAAAATCTGGTGACCAAAACATCACCGAACATATTTTCGTGGCTGAAATATATCGCCTAGACAAATTCTCACTAAGTCAAAACTCTCACGTGAACAAAATATCCAGGGCTACCTACTTTCAGCGTATTTAAGAAAAATTTGTTCTAAGAGGTCGCGAGTTTAAGATTGAATGCATGATTATTTGTTTTGTAAATTTGATTTGAATTTATTTTCCACGCCACTACATGTAAATGATGCTGAAGTTCAGATTAAATGTCACTTTCCACCAACTCTCTCCCAAGGGTGATTCTTATTTTGTATTCCACCCTTAGTTAGCTACTTAATTGTTGCCCTTAAGATAGACTACTATATTTAAGCAACAGATTTTTTTAAAATTTAGTTTGTAAGTTAGATTTTTTTAACAGTTTTTTTAATTCCTACTTATTTTTGATATTATTTTCACAACTTGATCAATCTCAACTGAATGCTATCTCCAGTCGCCAACAATCACCACTCTTCCACTGTATTTATGCCAAATAGTCTGTCTCTCAGCGCTCAACAAAGATGGAAAAGTGAGGCAGGAGGTGATGGTTAAATCCACTATGGGGGCCAACCCAAGCAGGTGGGAAAAGTAGTAATGATAGCAATGTTGGAGCTTGTGCCAATCCGGGGTAGAATATCTGTATGATTATTCTAAATTATTATTGTCTTATAAAAAGTGTTGAATTTTGGTGAAATTTTACAGAATTATTTTTTTCAGTGCATTAAAAGAATTCACCCTATGCCAGCATGAACATGCTCTTAGAGATTGTGGACTGAGAGCCAGTCAGTTTTTGCAAAGACACACAGAAAGGATGTCTGGCTCTCTAATCAACGAGCACTGCGTCCTCTACACTTATGATCCAGGTTCTTGCTCATCCATTGCTTCAATTTTAAGTTATGTCTCCATAAATAGAGCTTTCTGTTTAATTATCTCCTTCACTGTAATATTTTTCATCGTTAATATAGATTTTTGACTCAGTGTGTGGTATACATTATTTAAAAAAAATATATCAATTACTTTTTATATTGAAATTACTTGTCGAATTCTGCCAATTAAGACAGATTCAATTATAAAATGGGTTACTTGGATTATAACTCAGTTTAACCCTTTTGCAACGGGTGAGCTATTTCTCTCAAAGATATTTCTCTCAGTTCAATGAAATCAAGTTCCAAGACAACTGAATTAATATTTTAAAAATTATAATGATTTTATGTACAAAAAGTACAATGTTTGATTCGTACCTACACATCTGTCATTATTATCTAGAAAAAAGAATCATTTTATCCTACATAATTTTTTAGCTTTGAATTAAGTTATATAATGTTCAAGATAAAAGAACTATGCAAAAGTTATAATGATTTTATGTGCAAAAAGTACTATGTTTGGCTTGAAAAGCATGTTGTGTACCGTAGACTTAGAATATAGGTAGACTGCTCACGATGCATTACACTCAGAAACCAGCTACCCCATCACGTGATTCGTTGACAGGTTTACTTTTGAGGAACCACACATTTTTATTTCTAACAAGAAGCTTTTCATTTTTCACAATTTCCTTAATTCATAATTAGACAATGAAACAAAAAGCTTATTTTTTTTATCTCCAATTTCTAAAATTAGTGCAAATTATAAAATCCAAATAAAAAGATTTTATTTTATATTTTATATCCGTCGTTGAACACCTGACCCAATTTTGGGGTTTACGACTACTAATGTTCAACTCCGTAGCCTTGTAATTTTGAACCAATTCAGAAGACAAGGAAACTCTGGATCAATACCACCCGAGGTATTGATTTGTTACGGAAACATGGAGGACTTTGCGACTCGAAAGATTTAACGCGCATCAGTCGCCATATACTACACGGGGGGATGTATTCTGCCGGCAGGGATCGAACCCACGAACTCTTGGATATGGGCCCAGTGCCCTACCAACCAGGCTATCCGGGCCAAATTAAAATGATTGATTATAACTGATGAATTATGCAAGTATTTAGTGGAGTCTGATCTGTTAGTGTTTACTTTATTTCAGCTTTTTCAAAGTTTGCAGTGGCACTATGAGTTAATTTAAACAAACATTCAACTTAAAAATATTCATCATATTTTGTGCATGCTTTTGTTGATGCTTCTAATCCTTCACAATATAGCCCCATCAAATCCATTATTACAAACGCTGTAGCAAAGTCACACACCGGCCTATGCATTAATTAAAATAAAAATGTTTGTTTAATTTATAATTAAAAAATATACTGGATGTGTTCAAAATAATGATTAGTTAGTTTCTTTGGCACGTGAAAACTATCTACACTAGCCTCATCTCCCCTACGTATCAACATATTAAAATTTTTATTTTGTTCCATGCAAATGCAAACGTATGTGAAGATCTTAATAGAGGAACTAGAGCTGGAACTAAAATGATTTTTCGGGGCGCCTACACTGAAGTGCTTATCCCCGCTATAAAATATGTTTTGCCTAAAGAATAATTTACTTGGGATGAAAAATTTACATAATAGAATAACTAGATAAAAGACATTTTCATGGTAGCTATAAATGTGGCTAAGATAGAAAGCAAGTGATATCCGGACTATAAGAGATGTAATAGAAAGGCGGAAGTAATAATATTTTACTCTATTTTACTTACCACAACCTAATTTGAAATTAAAATCGTGGAAGTGTACTCAAAACTACTTTGGATTATTCACAGTAAACATTAAATAAAAAATAAAACTTTCCAATTTTATTATTTTTTTGGAATTCCTTTTCTAGAGGCAAATTCTAGTATATTTCTAGTTCAAATGGTAGAGAACTAAAAACTAAAATTTGCAAATTTTTGGTTTAACTTTGCTATTTCTTAATGGTCTCAACACTGTCTAACTGTCATAGTAGTGATCTGATACTGGGCACCTGGGCCACGTCCCCTCCGTCATGAATTTGTCTTAAAGTTTGTTTTAACACTGTGGGATCAGTTGTCCATGTGGTGGCTGGATAAGTGGTTCAAGCACTTTGCTCGAGGAAATTAGAACAATTGGATATATAATAAGCAGCTTGCTTAAAAACTTCAGTTTGCTGATGGTAGATGACTATGAGGTTCATGCACTTTGTTCGAGAAAATAATGTAGGTAAAAGGAAAGAAGTCACTTGCTCAAAAGTTTAGTTTTTTGTTTGCAGATAAGAGTGAAGTATCAGCAGAGAGACCAACTGCTCCGGAGTAGACAAAATATTTAAAAAAAATGGTTGAGGAGAAGAAATTAAAATTTGCAGATTTTCTGTTAAATTTAGCTACTTTTTGACAGGCTAATTGTATTCACGAAGATTGCATGAGCTCGGTGCCTAAACTGATTCGTAGGATTTAGGAGACCATGGGTAATTGGCGAATCAAGTTGAAATGAGTATAGAATGAGAATCCGAGTACATAAAAATAAGCAATCAACGAGCTATATACATATTAACAGTCGACGATAAGGAGGTAATAACGATTAAAGCGAAAATCGAAAAGGTTGAAAATAATTACAAAGCGGGCTATATTTAGGGTTAATGACGATAAAAATAAAACAATGTCCTAATAAATTAAAGAATATCTACACTAAGCGGGGAGTCGTGACGGATAGGGCAAAGGAGGTATGTCGATAACTTGATTCAGGAGTAATGGCAAATTTTAAGATGAAGCTTGAAGTAGTCATGGAGTCTATCATGGGGACAGTGAATTTATTAAACCAAAAAATCCTACATTGAAACACTGCCATTCGAAAATATTTATCAGCTGTCCGGAGTAAGTTGGCATCTGTGTCGATAGTATCTTTAAATGATCAATTCGCTAAGGTGCTTAGGCTAACATTGAATGCTTTTTTACATACTTAGTGAATTTCTAATGCTCATCATAATAGCATAAAAATGTACTAAAATAGCCTAAATCGGTCAACAAACAAAAGGACTTAAAATGGTATTGTATAACACTCTTGGAAATAATAAACTCCTTTCATTGGTCAACATACAAGACAGATAAATTATGTTCCGTATAATAAAGATCAACTTAGAAGAGTGTCTTGACAGGTTTCAGTGTTTGTTCTGCGTTCTAAAACATTTACAATATTGCAAATAACATACAGATACACATTGATACAAAATATTTTTTCCCTCTGCTGTGACTTTTAATAGGTGAGTGTTTGAAACTTTCTCAACTTTGTAAACGACTTTCAAACCGTTTAATAGCATCTTCGTTTTGGCTTTTAGGAAATTCCTGTTACACACATTGAAATTTCCATAAAAGCAACATTTATCTCCGAATGCTCCTTAAAACTTCTTATTCAGAAAACAAAATGCAAACAACATTTAGGGGCATTCAAAATTTACATCTAAAATATAAAGAAAAACTTGATAGTATGCCAAGAGTGAAAGCATAGTTACATCATGCTTTAAAAGCTCGTGTAATATGTCTTAGTCTACTGAGCATTTGACGTAGCTTTTCCTGAACTTTGACCTCCCCTATCAATTTTTTTGAAAAAAAAATGAAAAAAATTAACAAATTTTGTTTTTTAATTAATAAATATAAGGAACAAAAACAAAATATAATACACAGGTTTTAGGTTGAAATTTTAATTTCTTTTTATGTGTAAAAAATATTTAATTTACCATCAGATTACTCTCCTGTGTTTTTCGAGCAAATTAAAGAAATTAAATATTAGTCTTTGCATTATAGTTTTCAAAAGAAGGAACAACACAAAGTGATACTTCCCAAACACTAGTGAAATTATACGCCATTTTTTACATGTCGTTTTTCTACGTGAATTCAGCAACCATTGTATGCAATCGCACAAAGCACGTGTGCAGTCCCACAATCCAACAGAAATGCTCCCAAACAAAACTTGGCAAACTTCCAATCACAGCAGATGTTTATTTTTTCTTGCTTCCCGCCGAGTAAAAACGTGACAAAACAAAATGTACCGACAAATTTAGCTACGCACGAGTTTTCTCGGGTAATAAATATTTGCAATATATATACACTAGTGGGCTGCGCCCACTGCTCGCTAACGCTCGCCAACCCCCGAAAATTGCTAAGCAATCTTACACGGTTAACTTCGCAAACCAAGCTCGCTTCCCTCGCTACTAACAACATCTACATTGCAAATGCACAAAATTCTAAGAATTCAAAACAATCATTCAAACCCATATAATTTGTTTTTTTTTTTTTTAAATTACATCTTTTTAGTAAATACTAAGTCATTAAAATAAATTTGAATTCAAATAAATGACACGTAATTCGTTAAACCTATTAGAAATGTGCTATAGTGTAAAATCCTAAGATAAAATTTCAAAAACTGATATCTCTTTAAAAAGGTTAAAAAAAAATTTCTATAATTAAGTCTATTAAAAATTTAAATAAGTGAATTGCAGTGGAAAAACCTGCATAAACAAATAAATTCTAGTAAAGCAAATAAATTCTTGATATCAATCAAAAATCGTCAAATAAATTCGTGAAAAAAAGCGCTTTCGACAAAATACTGAAATAGAGATCTATCGACAAACACTACTCACTACTAAATTGTGGACACAAACTGAAAATTCATGCTGGAAGCTTTTAGAAATGATGTCATTGTTACCCACGCAAAATTTATATCGACTCCAAAATGAGAGAAAGAAATTAAAGGCTTCTTACAGTTTTAATGCCGCTATAATTATTAAAGCATTATTGTAAAATTACCGCACTCCTATGGGATGACTTCAAAATTGCTGGTATTAAAACTAAAAAGTAGTTATTAACTTACTTACTTCCTTTTTGGTCGATCCGAATTTTGTATGGATTAACTCGTTCACGCCGGGGTGACCCACCGGTGGGTCACGCTAGATTGTCTCATATTGGCAGCGCACCAAAGTAAAAACTGGTAACAATAAATTTCGCTTTTTAGTTTTTTTCCGGGAATAATAAAAATCTATAACTACCAATTGTTTTTAACGGATGCAATTTTTATATTGAATTGCTTCTTCG